AGCCTGGAGCTGGACGCTCCAGAGGGCTTTACCGTATTAACAGGAGAAACGGCGCAAGCGAAATTTGACACTTTCGTCGGACAACATGTGGTAATTTCTAAATGTTTTAAATCAGGTTGGGTCCAGTTTAGCCAGCAGGTGGGTCCAGATCTGGACTTTACTAGATAATGATCCATTGATCATTCATTGCTGACCGGACTTCTCCTTGGAAGCATTGGATTTAGGGATAGAAATCGAGGTCTTTTGTCTTTTTTTCATATGGTTCTACCATATTAATTATATACTTTTACCATCCCTAGCATTATACTGCTGCTAAGGAAGAACAGTTTTTATGTTGAGCTCATGCATTGACCTAATACTCCTCTCATACTCACCAATCTTGTTCTGGCAGCGATCTCCTTCCCAACCTGGCTGGCAGACACACTGGCCGGTCCCATCCATGCCGTCATCGCAGCTCCCCTTCACGCAGCTGCAGGCTAGGAAACAGGCATGACCTCACACATTGTCTCAGCCAACAGAGCTGAGAGAATATCCCAGTAATTTTAGTCATGCTGGTTCTATGTTTTAAAAAAAAATGTCTACATCAGCTGAACGCCTGTAAGTGTGAAAAGAATCAGGAATCGCTGCCTCTATAGAACTTAGTTGAAAGTTTCACACAGAAGCAGGTTAGTTAAGAGGCATGAACAAATCCGGCTGAGCGGTGGTTGCTATGGTGACAGACGGTCGGGAGCCGATGGAGCAGAGTTATCTGATGTGTTCAGGTTTTTATGATGAGCAGAAGGTGAAGGTTTACAGCAGAGGGCAGTAGCTGGTTCATCTCTGAACATCTCTGTTTACCCTCATGGTCTGTGTTTCATTTCATTTACTATTAATCTCTCTTCCCAGCTGGTCTTTTCATTGCTAATGACTGAATCATTATCTTTGAAGGATCCTATTTTCTGCTGTATAAAATAAATGGGGAGATGGGGAGCACCAGAACCAATCTAAAGATCTGAGTTTTACTGGTGTTTACATTCTGCTCTGCTCCTCTCTGCCAGGCTGAGTGCTCATTCTTTCCACCTGTGCTGACCATACAGACTCCCAATCAGTTAAACCTTTCTCCGCCGGTAATCCAGTGAATGGCAGATTTTTTTCAGCCTCCTTGTGAGTAGATAATCCAGCGTTCTTTCCTGGCACGCCTCATCTCATCTAGTTCTGTTCCTGGATTCCTCAGACTCGCCTTGCTCTTACTAGATTCTTTCATTTCATTTAATTTATTTTAAAACATGATATGATTGATATGATGCTTGTCTACAGTGAAAAGAAGGACTGGGTTATTTACTTTTGCCTTTTTGGAAACAGGAAGGAGCAATCAGCTAAGTGAGCTTAGTGCTTGGAAAAAATCTTTCATTCCTTTAGAGACAGCATGAAAAGTCAGCTGAGTACAAAACATAGAGAGGAAAACAAGAAGAAAAGTGACAATTTAATTTAATTTTGATTAAAGG